TATTAGTTTGCTTTTCCATTGCTGACAACTGAATGCTGCAGACTGGGTAATTTACAGTTTGACATCAAATTTGAAAAATTTAAAGAATACATATCATTAGAAGTGCTGGCTTGTGGTCTCTATGGGAACAAGTTGACATCTTAAGTTAAATGCCAAAATAATAAACCAATTTATATCCCACTGACAAAGAACTGAAAAAGAGAGAAAGTCTATCTGAGATGTGATTCTGCTCTTAAGCTTTGAAAAACCCATCAATCAGTTCTAGTCATTAAGTCTAAAGCCTATCAATAAGGCCATATCAGGAAGTTATACTGTGGGAAAAACAAAACCAAAAACCAAAAACCAAAACCAAAACAAAACAAGCAAATCTCAAGAGCTTATAAAGCAACAATGGCCTATCTCTCATTCTTTTTTTTTTTTTTTGAGAGATTTTTGCTATAGGGTGCGTGCGCTCGCCAGACAGACAGAGAGAGACATTAGAGACAGAAAGCGAGAAATCACCCCCCAGGGGGTATGGTCACGCCGCAATCCCTTCTCCTTCATTCTCCTCTTGGGATCTTGGGCATGCACGCACACGTGCCCGGCGTGAGTTTTAAGCCACCAGGTCTGGGACGCGAACCGCAGTCGACTACGTGGGAGTCCAGCGACATAGTCATTACGCTAACTGCTGGTTCCCGCCTATATCTCTTTGATGCCACATGTCCATTTCAGATAAAAAAGGGAGAAGGTATTTCTACTTATAGTTATTAAGAAATTCAGTAGGAGAAGGTAATGCCTAGACTCTTACAAATGGGTTTCAGAGGAGATAGTAATGCTGGGAAGGTTGAGAACCATATCAAATGCCCAGTCCAAACTGGCATTCATCATTTACACTCAACTCTCTATAGGTGTTTATTAGAAGAGGTTCGAGAAGGATAATCACCAAATGCTCCTGGAAGGGCAAGAGTGGGGAAAACTAGAATATTTGGCATGTGCATTTATCAAATTACTAGGGGAAAATTTTGAAATCTAGAAAACATTTTTTAAAATTTAGGTTAAACTGGTTGTTGAATTGTTAATTTTTTAAGAGAGATTTTTGCTATAGGTCATGTGTGCTTGCCAGAAAGAGAGACAGAAAGGGAGAAATCACATCACCACCCCCCTCACCCCACCCCCCGGCGTAAGGCAATACCACAGTCCTTTCTCTTTCATTTTCCTCTGGGAATTTTGCATACACACTTACATGTGCTTGGCATGAGTTTCAAGTCCCTGTGTCTGGGACTGAAACTGAGGCTGGCCATGTGGGAGTCTAATGACATAACCATTACGCCATCTTCTGGTCCCGAATTCTCAATTTTTAATTAAATAAAAAGCTTAGTAATAAGCAATCAGTGATATTTTAGTGTCTTTCAAATCATACTTGCACTCTTTGGTGTTTATTTTGCAGACATGTATTAGATACCTTCTATTTACTAAGTACTAAGATGGTTACTTGTGGGGCAAAACTACGAAGAATCCTTGAACTGCATTTTTAAAGACATTTGTATCTAGTTGAATAAACTGGAGTTTAAAATCTATAGGGCAGAGGACCAGCAGTTAGCATAATGGCTATGTCACTGGACTCCCATGTAATCGACCATGGTTAAACTCACGCTGGGCACGTGTGTGTGCATGTCCAAGATCCTGAGAGTATGAAGGAGATGGGATTGTGACGTAGCTATCCCCCTGGTGGGAAGGTGATTTCTTGCTTTCTGTTTCTCTGGCAAGTGCTATATATATATATAGGCAGAGAAGAGCGGGGAGTAGG